GGGGAGCACGAGGTTAACCAAAGAAACCCCGACCGCAACACCGTGTCGTCTCCACCCCACCGCTCGCGCCGCCCACAGGCCGGTACACCGAACCGGGCAGTAATTAGCAGCAAGTAATTAACGCCAGGGGGAAAGGCGGTCACGCGAGGTGAGCTGGGCTGCGTGACGAGGGGAGCACTACATTACCCAGAAGGCCACGCGCCTCCACACTGCTGAGGCGCATGCGCAGTCGCGCGCCTCTGAGGGCTGAGGCGGAGCGCTCGAGCGGCGGGTGCGGCCGGCGCGCGTGCGCGTGCGTTTCTCCCCTCCCTCTACCCCGCCGCCGCCATGATAGGTGAGTGAGCGCGCCGGGGCGGGAGGGAGCGAGCCCGGATGCAGATCCGCCCTTTCCTGCCTGTCCGTCTGCCGCCGCCGCCGGCGTATCGGTCCCGGGGGGAGGCGTGTGGGGGTCGGGTGTCCGCTGTCACCGCCCCAGCGGGTCTCCGCGGGGGGGTGGGGGTCAAAGTGCTGAAGGGTCAGTGCTCTCCTTGTTTACCCCTCTGGCGGGGGATGACCCAGTCTGCCCAGGGCTTGTGGTTGACTGAGGTCATTTTAATTTTTTTCTAATTTCCCCTCAGTGTAACGATTGTAAATACTGTTTGGAAAGGTTTTTGTGATTTGTGAACTTTCTTTGGCCTTGCTTATTATATATACATGTTACTGGTCTGGCACAGTAGTTGCTGGCGGTGATCGGAAAAAGAAACAATATAGGCCTAATTGTGTTGGGAGTTTGGCTGTTTGGTCCTTGAGTTGGCTTCTGTAGCCATCTAATGCCGGTGTGGTATGTGAAGCGGTTGTTTCAGTGGTGGGTTTTCTGTTATTTGTAAGATGAATCCATACCTGGGGACTCCGACAAGTTACAGGATTCATTCTGTAGTCCTTGTATCTCATTGCACATTTCATCTTCATTTCACTTTCTAAATTTTGTGAATTATTTAAAGTAAAAGCTATGAAATGTAGTAGATGCGCGTCTATTGTAACAATTCCTTGTATTCCTCAAGTTTGCTGTTTCATCTTCAGCGTAAGTGTCACAGTTGTTGCCTACAGAAGACCCAATCAAGTTGGAAAGCATGCAGTTTGTTGTCAAAATATTTATTGTTTTAAAATTAAACATCTCAATAATGTCCAAGAATCCTGTGGGTCTTTCAGCTAGACATATTTTTTTCTTAGCAGTGTATGAATGCAAGTATTTGGCTAATGTTCTTTCAGCTTTGCAAATGCTAAAAAGAGTTAAAAGCAGTCATTTATGTGGTATTTTAAGTCTGTATAAATACTTATGCAATTGATCTCTTCCTAGTTGTGGGACATTACTTAGAGGGTTTTCTTGTCATTTGGACTATTTTTTTTCTTATGTAGCGGAGAATATTTTAAATTATAGGTGTGCTTAAGGAAAGCACAGAAGGTCAGATATTCCACTGTCTTTCACGGTGCAATGTTATCTCCTCTGCTGATTTGATGTCTCGCTATGGAGTATAAAATACATGTGTTTACAGAACTACAGTGTCTGTTTTTGAATGCTTTAGAAAAGTAACTTGAGTGTACATAACGGACTGCCCATGTGGTTACAGAGTTAATGCCTCTAGCCCTCACTGAAATCTGAATATTTACTTACTGCTCATGAAGATAACGTGTATGACTGAGGAGTTATAATTTTATTTTCACTGTAGTAGATGGAAATGTTTGTGAATATTGATTATGAAATGTACATCCCAGTTAGTTGCAAACTTATAAACACACATTTACATAAGTTGCAACCTTAAATGATTTAAGCAGCAATCTTTTATTTTAGTGAAAAAAAAAAAAAAGTAAAAAAAACCCTTCCCACTCTGAAAACACAAGAATTGTTTTCAAAGTCTGTGATGTAGAGACCTAGCCCTATTTTCTGCTTTCTAAAAAGTCTCCTCTTAACACTTATGAGCTAGGAATACCATGGTGAAATAACTAATGTAATCTGTTCCCAAGTTTTTGATCTGAATGTTTAAAGACTTATCCTATGAAGCACATCGTTTACAAAAGCAAAATGAAGCAAAATGTTTTATGGTTTCGTATCTCTGGAAATATTTTATGTCATCATGAGTTCTTGTGGCAAGGAATTCTACAATGTAATTGTGCAACAAGTGACAATTCATTCCTTTTAATGATTTTTTATTTCCTCTTACTTTATGTCCTTTTGTTCTTGTGGTGTGAAATAGAGAGAACAAACCTGATGCACGTTACTATTTTTTCGTATTCTTTCTTATTCTTCTCTCCCTGTTGTTGTTATTTTTTTGTCCAGTGAAATAGGCGAACCTTTTATTCTATCTTCATTTAAGTGTTTGACCATACTTATGGTCCTTCTTTGTACTCCCCACACCCCCCCAAAATTTTTTTAAGATACTTTGCTGAAGAGAATTTTTTCTATAGCACCTGTCATTCCAGAGGAGGTTAGACAATTGACTTGTCTTTTAATAGTCTTTTAGTAGTCTTCATATGATTTCCTATCCTGCTTGTTACTATGTTCTCCTGTGTTGTTAGTTTCTGTTGACTGAGCAGAGATTTGTGGAGAAAGTTTTGCTTATGAATGAATTTCTGATTGCTAACATATCACCTGGAAAAAAGAAAAAAAAAATAGTTTTTGCTTATTTTCAGTAAGAGGTTATTCCTTGAGGGAGGCCTTCAAAATATGTAACTATTTATTTTTGTCTGTGTGACATCTGCATTCAGAATATCATAACAGCAAGTTAATTATGTAACAGTCCATTTGCGTAGAAATTCCATGGACAAATTTATCTGGAAAGTCCACGGCAGCTGACATGTGCATGGCATTGCACTGCGTTCATGAGCGCTTCTGGAATTTTAATTCTTGGGTATATATTTAAAAGCATATATCAAGGTAAATGGTAAAGGTGGCTCTTTCTTTTATAAATGTTTTTAGAAGGTTGTTCTGTAATGTGCTTCACTTTTAAGTGAAGTTACCAGAACGATTCCTCAGCGGTCCTTTTACTTACGTCTATATTGTGTTTTTTTTAAAATTACAGTTTATTTATACTACTTGCTGGTGGGCTGTTCAGTTAAGGACTTCAGGAAACTTCTCTATAGAAAATTATTTAATTTTATTTTAATAATGAAAAATAATTATATAAATGAAGGAATGTTTAAGTTATTCATTTTCACTAGCGAATACTATATGTATATATTCTGACTGATGTAATATAGGAATCCTTGCATAAATTACTGACCATTGGAAAGCCAAGTTCATGCTGCTTTTCATATTTGTAACAGCAATACAAGTTAAATGAGCTGAATATCTGCTGCTTAAAGGACCTGTGTTGTACTTAATCATCTTTTGTCAGCCAGTCCTCAAACAAGCTTACTGTAGACGAAAGTATTTCTGTGGACAACTTCTGTACTACCATTTACCTTAAGCTTATGAGACTTCATCTCATATTTCCAGATCTGTCTCTTTTTTTTTTTTTTTTGTTTTGTTTTGTTTGGTCACTTTGCTTCGTGTCCCCCATTTTTTTCTGCATTCACATTTTCTTAGTGGCTGTGTTGTGCTTCAGTAGAAGCAGAGTGGAAATGCCTATCTGTTGCAGGTAGTTCAAAGCTTTTCAGCAGTGTAGGTAGTGAAGTTTAGAAAGCATGAGATTAATGGTAAATTGTGTCCAATGGAGAGAAAAGGGATCAGCCTAGAGGCCTGATGAGCGCTAGCTGGAGTTGCCACCACCTGCTCTCTCTGTCCCTCTCTTGTTAATGCTGGCCTGCTCAGGTGCCTTGAGAGCATTTTCAGAATTTGTGGCTGACGTGGGGTAGGGTCTGCTGGCGACTCCTCGAAGTGGCTTTTTCCCCGATCAACAATACTGTTGCTTGGACACAAACAAAGCAGTGACTGAGATCAACCTTATACTAAGGCTGTTTTGCAGCCTCGAGCAGTTGGGTGCCCTAAACAACAGGAACTGTGCTGGTGCCTAGAGCTTACTCTGTCCTGTAGTCAAGGATCAAGCAAAAATTTTGGATAAAATCTCAACCAAACCTGAGGTTTTGGCAGAAAATAATATTTGATTACTTATTGTAAATTCTGTCCTAATAGTGGCTCTAAGGTGCCTGTGCAAAAATTAATAAGGTATGAATACTGCATGCTTTTGCCTTATGTTTCAGTTGTTTTTCCATACCCTTTTGGACGATACTGACATGCATATAAATTCTCAAGCAGCTTAACTGTATGATATTTCTGATTTCACATACAGTGAGTAGCCCCACGCAGAGTACGCTTAGATTTTCAGATAGCAGCAGAAGCACACTGGAGTTGTGCATAGAGAGCACAAGTTTTAAGCCGTACTAGCTTTACACTACAGTGAAAGGCCTATGTTTAGATCATGAATTGAAGGTTAAGGCTGGTATTTCTGTATTAATACGATGCTTTAAATTTGACATTTAAATTTGGCAAAAAGTTGGAAGTAATGTCTGTTGGGGAAAAAACAAACAACGATCATTTGCTCAGCCATTTGTCCATAAGTTTTTACAAACTTGTTTCACAGATTTAATCTGTTTCAGTATTTGAAAGATAACAT